GTAGTGGTAGTGGTAGTGGTAGCAGTGGTAGTGGTAGCAGTAGTAGTAGTAGTAGTAGTAGTAGTAGTAGCAGCAGCAGATTCGGCACCCACTTGGCACGCCAGCGACAGCAGGACCCCATAGCAGTAGTAGTAGTGGTGGTAGTAGTAGTAGTAGTAGGAGTAGCACTAGTAGTAGTAGTAGTAGTAGTAGTAGCAGCAGTAGTATATAGTAGTTGTTGGAGCAAGAAAAAGTCGTCATGGCCGTGGGAGAAGGGGCAATCGCCGCAATCGCGCAAACACAGTAAGATAACAGCACAGGGGCGAAGCACGGCAGCTCTTGTGAAGCAGCCTTCGTGTCGTGCTTGGGAGGCAAAGCTGTCCTGCTTCCTCGGAAGGTTGACCTTGTTGCCCTTCTCCACATCCTGTCGTGGCAAGGCTGGGACTCGCCTTTCGGCTTCTACAGTACCGCTTGCATCCCCACTTTCCATCGGAGCTCTGGAGTCTAAGGCTCCAAGACCTTCTTCATTGAACCAAGTCGACTTGAATTGCATCCGGAGTACCCCTCCTGGATCCCCACTTCGAAATCCTGAAAAGTGTACATGTAAGGCTTCCGCGCACCTGCATGGCTTGCCGAAGCTGTCTGTTCACCTTCCACCTGTCATGTGTCTGGCAGTTGGCGCACAGCGTTTCCACATTTCCACCTTTCCAGCCAAATCCAAGCGAACTATATAGTTCAGGGGTTTGTGCTCACACAGCTCGATCCATCAGGACTCGGCTGTGGGGTTGCTTCTCTCTGAACCCTAAAACCATTTCCACAAGACCGCGCAAACCATCGACCGATGCTGTTTGCAGACGTTTGATGCGCTTGAGTGAACGGAAATGGGTCCGAAAGCCTCTGACGGCCGCCAATCCCCTAAACTCTAGATTCTAAACCCAAGGAACCTTCCTATGTCGCCGAAGCAGACGCACCTGACGAAAGAGAGGGTGTCGAAGATGTTGTCCTGCTGTCTCGGATTCCTCTCACGCCTCGGGCTTTATCGTTTTGTACACTACATATGCTACAATCTACGCAAATACATACATATACGTATATACAGACATATAAACACTGCATACATACCCACAACACAGCACGCAGTCTGCATGCTTATACTGAGTTGTCGGAAGTTCACCCATTGTGACATCTAGTACACGCTCATGCACACCTGCGAACATGGGGGTCCAATCGAAATCGAACAACTCAGAGCACAAAAATCTTCGTCTCTGTACAACACATCGGTAGACTTATGACTTGTCGATCTATCTTCTATCTTCGTACAGTCTGACCACATTACAACATGCAGAGAAGGTTAAGTGACCGCACATCTGCAGGACAACCTAGCAAATACAGTACAATACCGTCATGGTCCTGCTGTGGCAGCCAAGGCTCTGAAGGGTCCGTTGCTGACGATCCCAATTCTCGCCAAACTCTTCCTCCTGCCCATGGGCACACGAGCAATTACAACTCGAAGCCACGGGTGCCCACAGTGTCTAGGATGGCCCCTCGTCCTGAAACTGAGGAATTCATCGGGAACCAAAAACGGAAGACAGCCCACACCATGGTAGGTGGCATAGCCCGCGACTGACCTAAAGGGGATGTCTTTGGATATCCCTACCTAGGCGCTTTGATCGGATTGTCCCCGCCTGGAACATTGCTTCGACCTTTCGGCGCGAGTGCTGAATCCACTTGCCTCCACTGAGCTAATGCTGAGGTGCGGAGCCCGAACATGCACATAGAAAGCAAACAATACGTGGTTTCAACGAGCATGGAAGCAGCACAGACCGGCACTTATACACCCCAGTGACGACGATGCCGACGCCAGTGATCACAATTAAGAAAATGAGGATGTGGAGGCGGAACGGCAGGAGGATGGTGGCAACGATCATGACAACAGCAGCGATCAATGCAGGACGACCATGACCGCAAGCACAACGGCTGCAACTACCATAACGACAACACCAGGACCGTTACAGGAACGCCGATGACAACGACAAGAACTGTATCAAAGCGAACACAGGCAACACCACTCCCATCACCGCCGCCGCCGCCACTAACCAGGCTCATGGCATTGTTCCTCTTATTCGTGCTTGCATTGCCCATCACTGTTATGGTGGGCATCATGAGAACTAACGTCTGGTCATCATAGTCGAAAATACTCGACAGCCATCGTCAGCATCATCAGTGCCATCATCAGAATCATCGTCATCTCGTCAATCTCGTCGTTGAACAACCATCATTACGACTCCTGTCGTCCGTGTTGTCGTCGTCCTTCGCATCCACATGACTATTACTATCGCCGCCGGCAACATCATTATCAGCATCTTCCTCGTCATCGCAATTACCAAAGTCACCGCTGTCACCGTCATCATCGGCATGGTTGTGACCATCGCAGCTCCATCGGCCTTCATGGGACCTGTAGTCCCGGTAGTGTTCGCGAAAGAGGCTGAGATGAGTGGTCAAACTCTCAGAACCGAGCTTTGCATCTGCACGTCTGTATGCCCAAATTCTTTAAATCGAGCCTCCACCCCACAAAGCCTTCAAAAATGCAGTGCCGCAAGCCAAAGCAACCAATCTCTCGAGCTCGTGCAGTCGCAGCTGGCTGCTACGCGCACAATGGAAGTCTGTCAATGCATGTCGTCCTCCAAGGAGTCCAATCTGCAAGACATGTTCTCTGCCCAAGTTGCACCCTTCCAGCTGTCAATTCAAAACCGGGCCTTTCTCCATGCGCACCTTGTCCTGGAGCTCGGCCCACTCCTGCCGTGTGGAGGCCCGGCAAGGTACAAACTTGTCTACTTATACACAGAAAGGTGCGTCGTCGACGACAAACCAACTCAGGTTGCTCTACAGCATACTCGCACCCACGCTACGGCAGACGCAAAGTCGCTCGAGCACAAGACAGGCAAGGGTTAACTCATTGACGTCAGTGTGAGAGCTGGAGGCCAAGGCATGTATATAATGAACAGAAACGGCTATCTAGTTTCTAAGATGTAACAAAAGCGACAATCACAGTTATGTGCGCACAAGACGCAACAGATGCTGACATACCCCACTACACAACACCGTTTCGTCGAGCTCTCTGAAGACCGGAAAGAAAAACCTTTGTTCTGTTCGAGTTAAGTCCCCCGAGCCGAATGGCTCACCCCTGTTGTTGGGCCTTATAGGGAGAGCGGACACGTGAAACAAGAACCAAAGTTAAGGAGCAGAGCCACTAAAGGCAAGCTGGACAATTAGAAGGTTTGGATCTCCCTCTCCTCCTGCCTCTGCCTGTCCATCAATATAAGGTTGTGCAGAACGGCTCAGGCAAGTCCTCTTCCATTTCTTGCGTGAGGAGCCGAGGCTTCGATGGTCGCCGAGTCCACTTTGCCTGATACCAAAGCCCGAACGGTAGCTCTTGGTCGTTAAATCGAGCTGGAGTGGCTGTAGTGCTTCGACCCGCATCCGCTTGCACATGCTACAGCCCAAGCGCATTTTGGGGTTTTGGCGGGGGGATCAACCCGTTGTTTTGCTAGCGTTCGTAGCTTTACTGTCGTTGCGGCTGTTGCTCAGCTCGTTGGTCATTCCCATTGCCGCCAACACTTCCCCATCACTTGTGCGGGCTTGAAGGCTAGGGCTCAAGGTTCAGTTTCATTCACAAGTAAGTTACAAGTAGAACGCACTTGAAGACCTTCAACACGCAGACATCTGACACTTCTCCACCTTCTCCTCTGCGACGTAGAAGAATTCTTCCAGCTTCTCCCTGCGGCTTGATACCGTGGAACCAGGGTAGGTAAGGCTCCAAGCGACACGGAGGAGATATGCACATGCATCAGGTAGGGCCTTAACACTTTCAGTGGGCAGCTTGCATACGACTTAAGGGTGACGAGGCGGCTGCCAGAGCCGAGACATAAGAGACTATCCTGGCAACAATGGATTGCATGCTTCTGACGTCCCGGAACCACGCAGTAAGCACAGTCAACAGTCAGCTGAAAACCGCTTTTCCCATCCTACTTGGATCGGCCTCTTGGACTTTTTTGCTTTGACCTTTGTCATGAAACGCGCCAGGGAGAGCAGCAGCGGGGCGTTCTTGGAAGCCCTCTTCTCGCCTGGCAAGTTATTCCAGCAGAAATGCCTCCATCCACAAGAATTGGAGGATGGTCGTCCCAAAAATCCCCCTAGCCTGCTGATACTCCTGTTTGCGGTCTGGCTTGTGGGCTCTAGGGTTGACCGTCAGACCATGAGCCTCGCATCGGTCTCAACTTCACCAGCTAACCCAAACAATAGTTTCATCGCCCGACGAACACACCATATCCCCAAAAAGCTGCGCAAGCATAATGCTAATAAACGCCACTCAAACGCCCAAGCAGCACCCAGGTAGGAGACACTTGAACCTTGTTCCAGATTGCTGGAATCACACATGCATCTGCGCGATTGTGGCAATGATGACACCCTTTGCTCGTGTCAAACCTTGCGTAACCCCTCACACAATCCTTGGGAAAACTGGGGGAAAGCCCTCACAAATCCACTTTCCAACGAACCTACTACTGTACAAACCTTTACCAACTCCCTCACCTTTACCTGAAATTCCTTAGGGCCTTTGCCGGCCTTCCACGGGCTCTGCAGGCGGCTGCTCTGGGTCCGCAGGCGTGGCCGGAGGTATCGATGGACTCTTCGGCGGAGAAGACCCGCCAGGACTGAGTTCGATCACACTCGGACTTGTCGGAGCAAGGTCAGGGAGGGTTTAGGGCCTATTCATCTGTCGAGTTATGGAGTTTCAGTAGGAGTTTCTACTCTCACACTCTCACGACAAGTCGGGACACTTAGCTCAGGTTTGGAATTTAAAACTTAAGGCTGTCTCGGCTCCTGCTCTGGTGCTGGGGTTTGGTTGTGGGGTTTCTCTGATAGCTGCACTGTGAGAAGCGCATAGGTTCCAAGGTCTACCCTAGAACTCGCCTCAGTCCAACTTAAAGGCATGTGCCTGCAGCAAAACACCTGCTCTTCGAATGCATGAGAGCCACGACTCATCTGTTCTCTCCACTTCTTCCTTGATGGGCTGCGGCCGGTGCTTGATGGGGCGGCACCTTTGGCAAGGACAGTCATGGTCTCCATCCTAATACGAACTCCTGCTCCCACCCATCTTTTCCCCCAAAGGAAAACAACACCCATGAGGCCCAACATCAAGCCAAGAAGCTCAAGGAATCCTTCACCCAGAATCTGCATCCCCAAACGCATTGACAGCATCCGCAGCTCTATCAGTGCGTCCTTGTGCGTGTTTGCATGCTCCTCTGGGCCACTCATGCCTGAAGTCTCAACGGCACAGTCCTCACTCCCAAACTCTAGACCGTATCCACAAAAGTGCCGAAGATCCCGAGAAGCCCCGAAAGCCCAGGGTGCACCCCGGCGCTGTCAGAGGCCGACCCTCCGAGTCCGGCAGACGGCCTTGGTAAGCTCCAGAACTGCCCAGGGTTTCGGGTTTTGGCGCTCACACTCGGAAACTCCAAGCGAGGCATGTGGTTCGGGGTCTTACTGCTCGTACTTACTAATCAATATCTGTTCACGCCGTCAAGACTGCTCAGACTGTTCAGTGTATTCGTACTGCTCATACGGTTCATTCTGTTCATTCTATTCCATATTTTTCATACTGTGCACACTTTTCATTCTGCGCATCTCTCGAGGGAGCAGCGTCAGTCCTAGTCAAGCACCGCTTTCTGCCTGGAGCCTGGGGCATGTTATCCTTTGCTCCGTGTGCGCCGAGAACCGGGCTTGACAAAGGACCGTCCGGCCCCACGTCGTAGGCAAAGTGGCTTTCCCAATACCCTGTGGCGCTTGGAAAAACGAGCAGAACACGCAGTTCCAGCTTCCATTCAGAGGCTGCCAGATGGGCTACCACTTAGAGCACTCGCTGATGCTTTTCGAAGATGGCCCCCTTCTCCTTCCGAGCTCTTCAACATCCTACCATCAAATCCCAGGCCTGATATGTTCCAAAGCTCCTACGGCCCTAAAGCCCAACCCAGACTGCGGAACACGTGGTACCTACATGCCTAATCTCGAAGAGCAGTACGTCTCAATGTTCATGAGCCACAGAACACTGAAGCTACCTCAAGTTTAATCATTTCTGTCGATTGAACTCCTTCCGATCCCGGATAGAGTGTGCCACCGGAATTAAGCGACCAAAGTCGGCAATGGGCCTTGGTTCGCACTCCGGTTTTGCAGGCCACCCCTTCGAAGGAGTGTGTCGAACTTCTTCAACGTCTGCAGTACAGTGCCGGATTTTTTTTGCTACTTAGAAAGGACTAGCCCGCAGTGCCGGATTGAAGTTAAGGTGTTTGAAGGCTGAAGGACTTTAGCCACATCTGGGGTTTACCCTACCGTAGCATTTTCGCCTGGAGCGTAACTTGCAGAGCTATACGGGAGCTTGAAACTGATAGGACCGGAAGTGTTCCTACCGACTTCGTTTACAATGCACCAGGTTCCGACGGATCGGATCATCTTCTTACACTTTGGAGACTTTGGAGGTCTCCAGAAGGTGTCCGTGGATCGACCGATTGACAGCAGCCCTCCGGCCGCACGGAAGAACTGCAGTTTCCAAACTACGAGCTACCGATGCCCACGCTGATTGTGCTGAATGCTGCTGCTCGAGGCTGATTGCGACGATGACCCAGCTGTGTGCGGGAGACAGGCTGCTACGAAGCGCAATGCGTCTACCGCCCGAGCACGTGGGGCCGGTGATCTCCTTCTGCACATTGACTCAGCTGTGTGCGGGGGACAGGCTGCTACGAAGCGCAATGCGTCTACCGCCCGAGCACGTGGGGCCGGTGATCTCCTTCAGCTAGACCGCTCATGACACATGCACTGCGCTTATGGGTAGGTTTGAGGATCCTATGCAGTCCTCTTCGGAGGCTTCGGACGTGTATCATGCGGGCTTCCATGGGCCAATGGCCTGTAGCCCTCGTGGCTGTTGGTCCTGGCTGATCCTTTTGCCGCATCGCCCGGAGCTCTCAACATGTCTACGACTTATCCGACAGAGGGCCTCGGGCTTGCCTCTGTGGTCTGGAGGGAGGGCGTGCAAACCTCATGTCTTCGAATCTGCCCGGCTTATTCTGTTTCGGAAGCTGGGCACCACATGCACCTAATCCTCACCCTTGGTAGAGGACTGCATGTCCAAGTCGGGCCTGGGCTTGATGCGAAGGCATGCGGGATGGGCCCTGGCATGCCTGAAGCTTTTGCAGGCACCTTGAAGCTCAAAAGAGTGCCCTGAAGCTAACTCCGCCAGACAGCGGAATCTGCAGAGCACCTTCATGTGTCCTGCAAAGTTTGAAAGGGGAGCAGTCCGGAAGGGAAGCATGCTTAAAGGGCCGAGTAGATCAGCCGACACGATAGCAAATCTTCCGAGCTTGAAGTCTCACAGTCCACGAAAGATTAGGGCCTGCATTGATTCCTGCCGTAAATCTTCCCCTGTCCGGAACACAAGAGTAGCTGGTGTGTGCAGCCGACGGAGCAAACTCCAAACCGAACTGTTCCGAGGGCATTTTGTTTAACCCAAGTTAGTCGGTTCAATGCTCCCAAATATGCCCCACTTCCGATCGGCCGGCAACGCACCGCCCAGCTTGACCACAATGGCACTAATCCGACAACCTCTAGACTTAGGCGACCTCGATCGCCGCCTCAGCATACATGAGATAGTCGCCGGCTCCGTTCAACTGCACCTGCCTCTGGCTGCGAAGGCGGGCCACGAAGGCAGCGACGGCGACGAGCGCTCCAAGGGCAAGAGACCCGGTTGAGAGTAGCAGCGGCTGCGACCATGCACTGGCCGCAAGCTCAGCAGGAGCAGCTTTCTCCTTCTGCTCATTCGCTTGCTCCTCTTGCTCCTGCTTAGCCTCGGACGCCAGCTCCTGACTGGCAACATATCGCGACTCTAACTAACCGAAGTTGTCTGAGGTTGCTTGAAATCTCCATCTTTCGCTGGAAGAGGATGACGATGACGATGGTGATGACTGTGATGATGGCGAAGATGGTCCAGATGGTCCAGATGGTGCAGCTGGTGGTGGAGATGGTGATGGTGGCGGTGATGTGTGGCGGTGATGGTGGTGGTTGTGATGGTGGTAGGGGTAGTGGTGGTGGTGGTGTTGCTTTTGCTTTTGCTTTTGCTGTTAGCGGTGGTGGCTCTGCTTGTCGCTGACAACTTTTTCCCCACACCCTGCTGCCTCTTTCAATTTCTCCTGCTCCTCAGCCAGCTCCTTGTGCAATCGCTCGCGCTCGGATGCCAGCTCCTCCTGGAGGTGCTTCTTCTCCTCCTCGCGCAGCTGACTCTCCTTTGCTGCCTCTGTATTGTCAGAGGGAGCGACGAGCAGCGCAGGGCCATCACTGCCTTCTTTGGTCTCCGCTTTCGCGGCTCCGCCCTGCGAGCCCTGACCCTGAGTATATTTGGAATAGTCCATGTACTGCTTGTAGTCACCGGCACCGCCCTGCTAACAAGGACGGGCGAAGAGCTTTGTGCATGGACAGTCATCTGATCATCTATCTGCACCAAGTTATTCACAAACCCAACCAACCAACCAAATTGTCCTTAAGAGGCTGCAGTAGAAACTATCTTCGACCATTGCACACATTTGTAAGCGCGTTACCCGGCAACTTCCGGCAAATTATCAAGCACAGACGATCCTTCTGCCGCATCCCTGCTACGCTCTCATACTACACCCATATAAAGTCTCCAACCTAAAGTCCTCGACCGCACAAGGGGTTCCCACAAGCCCTGAACCCTGCGCAGCCCAAGTCCTGAAAGCAGAAATTACGCTAACATCAAGAGCTGCTGGTTCTAGGCATTCCAACTCTCCACTTGT